TTAAATATGTGTGTGTGTGTGTGTGTGTGTGTGTGTATATATATATATATATATATATACAGTATATATGTATATAATAGTAAGCAGTAAAAAAGCAAATCTAGACAGGTGGAGCTGGGGGAGGTGGAGGGTTTCAGCAATCTTTCACGCAATCTTTCTGGAGTTTTATGACTGAGCAAGATATATATTCTGGGAAGATTTGTCAAGAAATTGTTGTTTTTGAGAAATATTTAGTAATCAGTATATTCCTGATTTATTCCAGACATCAAACTGACATGAATATATCTTGGATTGCTTCTGGACTGCTGTGGTTTCTCCTGACCTCCTCCTCATCACATTGCCATCACGTTCTATCCCCTGCTTGAGCATCCAGAGGTTCTCATTTCAGCATCAGGGTCAAAATTTTGAAACCATAGACTCAGCAGTGTAGCACATCTCCCTACAGCAGCTCCGGAATGTCTCCGTGGTAACGGGTCCACTTCTGATAGGTAGAGTGCAGAACTGTGGCCCTTTCTAAAAGCTGAGATCACTTAGTGAGAGCTGGAAGGGTTTGAGGGTTTGAAGTGCTAACACACACACACACACACACACACACACCAGAGAAGTTGGCTTCATGAGTTAATAATGCATGAGCATGAATAGATATAAACACAACAGGAAATATGGCATGAATGTGACATATGTGATTTCTGCTATCTTCAGGGTGCTATCATCTAGTACCCTGCCAAAAATGTTATAAAAAAAATAAAAAAAACGGAAATATTTTGTTCACATACACACTAGGGTATCTTTATGTATACATCTATGACAGTATGTGTGTGTGTGTGCTGTTGAGGTTTGTAGGCACAGTTTTTCAGCATATATATATATATATATATGTTTTTATGGATAATATTCTATAATATATGCCACATTAATAAAATAAAATAAAATAAAAATAATACTGAAATAAAGTTGTTCACAACTTCTAGTTCATACAGACTTGAAATAGATTAATGACAACTCTCAGAACAGTTTTAGCATGTAAATGAAAATGACAATATTAATGTGTTTGATCTTGGCAGACTACATCTACTACATACACTGCTGCTGCAGCAAATCAAGTATAGACATGCTACTGTCAATAGATACATAGACAGACCGCAGTGAGCATGTAAGATATGTTGCCACTGCATAAATACGCATACATAAATCTGTCAGACAGGATAGGATCTAGACAGGTGGAACTGGGGGAGGTGGAAGGTTTCAGAGGCTCTTAAAAACACACCTTAAAAACAAGTTCATACGATTTGTACACCATATTCCAAACCATCTAAAACCATATGATAACTTTAAGTATTGAAGTATATAATTCCTAAATGTAAGCATTTAGGTTTGGAAAGACATCAGGGTGAAGAAATTAACAATAATAAACAGAGATATAACAGAAATGTCACTTTAAATATATTTAACAGGTTAAATAGACCAGTTTACTCAATTAAAACACATAAGCTTTAAAGTATCAAAGCAATCCTTTGGTAATATGCCCAGAACCTATGTAGTCCTATTGTCACTCCCAGTTATGGTGATTATACCAGTAATAAATGACACAGAAATAGGAAATAGTATCCAAGAATAGGTTGTGTGTACATTTCAATAATTGTCATTGGAGTGATTTGGTGCTCTTTCCTGCTGTCAAAAAGCACTCAGGACCAGCTAGGCTAAAGGCTACAGATTTGATTAGCGATACAGTGACCAGCTGCTGCAACACAATAGCCAAATCATTACTGTGGCTTTCAGTGGAATGAAGACAGAAAGGCTGGGGGAATTATAGTGCCAGGGATATGTCAACATATGTACAACTTAACCAGCTAGCATTAGCATGCTTGCAGCTTGGTTAAAGACCTGCATTTTATTTTAAATGATGGCCTTGTGTATTTTGGATGTGCAGTGTGCACTGAAAAATACCTGAACCATACACAACCTCTTTGTAGAAGAAAGCCAAAGTGTTATCTTAGATTGTTAGGTTGATAAATTGCAAGACTTGAACTGTGCATTTAGCAGTAATCACCCCCATGGACAGGTAATTGTGTGTGTTTGTGCATGTGTGCTCAAGTGTGTGTGCATTTGTGTGTACGCCTAATCAAATAGACTACTCGTGTGTGAAAATCAGAGCAGGTGGCAACGCAACAGGGTGACGAGGTGACAGGACCATGTTGAATGCATGTGCATGTGTTTTTTTGTGAATCTGTGCTGTGCTGGTTTGCCGACACAGCTCATCTCCTTCTATATTTCTCTCCAACACCTGTGGATTGCTGACATATTCTTCATTCTTTATATAGTACTTGCTGTGTTTACCAAGATGGATAAACTACACTAGAATGATTGATTTATAAACTGGAATTCCACTGTGTTTAAATAGCAGCTTGGTATTGGATGAAATTTCAACTTTGTGTTTATTAATACTCAACAGACAAAATATTTACGATTTCATAAGGCACGATAGATAAAAATGGAACTAAAGTTCTGGCAGATATATTAGAAACGAAATAGTTTATGATCACGTTTTTAGCCATATGTTTGTCCTTGACATTTACCATATTTGAAAGGCATTTTCAATAACACAAGTGTTCTTTATGTACAAACAAACAGTTAGGGATGCTTTGCTGACATGAAAATTATATTAAATATATCCAAAATCTGCACTGGTTTATGATCATGTTTTAGCCATATGTTTGTCCTTGACATTGACCATATTTGAAAGGCATTTCATAATGATGTAAATATGAAAAATAACACAAGTGTTCTTTATTTTCAAACAAAATAGTGAGGGATGCTTTGCTGACATGACAATTATATTAAATATTTTCAAACACCAAAATCTGTACTGGTTGTTTTAGAAGGTGTGACAGTCACGCTGTTTTGCAATGTGCCACAAAATATTGTCCAATCAGTGGTGAAAATACAAACCTGATAGCAAAGCAATGGACCTCACTAAAGAGACTGCAATCATATATTCATGTAATAATATTTTAAATTAATATATCATATACAAATATAATTTTCATATTAATATTACTGATGTTTGCGGATTTTATTACTATTAATGCTAATGCTAACCCACAACACCCTAGAATTTGCATGTTTTGAAGAGTTTTCTTCAGAAAATTTTCTTCAGAAAACACAAATTAGCCTGTTACCAACCCCGTTCTTATGAAACACACATCTAAATAATGAAATAAATATTCATGAAATATCTAGGAATAATTGGACAGACCAAGACATATAAGAAGGACATTTTTATTCACAAGAAAACAGTGTTATCCCAAGCTGCCATATAATACATTTATACGGAGGGTCAGAAAAGTCTTTACAAAACCAAAAAAGTTAGAAAATATGATTTGATATGAAACATGACGCAACATACATTGTCAGCTTTCGTTCAAAAAAAAGTTTCAGTTTTATGTCAGTCAATTCCATGTACTTAAAGTATAGTGAATGCCAGCATAATCATTACAAAATTCAAAGATGAAGAATAAAGTCTAGAAAAAAATACAAATCTCATGCAGCATCTTGAAAAAGGGCCTGAGAGTGTGTTTATAAAGGTAAATAAATCCAAGAAGGTTTTGAATTCCGTAACATCAATGTCGAATGAGATCTAATGTTCATTCACAGCCTTTGACAGACAAGTAACAGGAAAGTCATTATGGCAGCTACATGTTAAAACACTGAATCACTTTCACCAGCAAATTTCTGTGATGGCATCAGAGAAAAGCAGGTGGTCTTTTACAGCTGTTATTAAACAGCACATTGAGTGCTGAAAAACACTGTTTATACAGTATGTCCTGTAAAGGCTAGCCTAGGAGACGGTAATTTGTGCTAAATGCTTCCTGTTGCATTTTCTGAGGTTGTTTGTTTAAGACCATGATTGCATGGATGCATAGGACTAAGGCTTGGATAGACATCCACAGTGGAGTTAAAAAAAACCTGCAATGCGACATGGACTGGACCGTAATACTATTTGGGGTACATGGACTGTCAAGATTTTAATGACATAATCAATGTTCCCTTAGGCTATAAAAAGTGTGTATTAATAGTATCAAATATGCCATTGAGCAAGCCACAGTGTTTAAAATCTCATCAGATAGTTTTATGGTTACTTTTAAGATGCTGTTGTCTGAATGGGTATGGAAAAGAGTCCTTCCTGTACCGCACAAATGTCACATCACCCCTCTTTAATCACACCCACAGCTCTTTAAATGCAACCCACTCTGTGTCCACAGAGAAAGGCTGAGCTAGACATGTCAGGTTACACTGATGAATGCCCTTCGCCAAAGTGTCTATTTAAAGTAAACAAGAACAAGAGGCCAATCTGCATTTTAATAGATCACGCCTCTCTAGCAACACGCATCCATCGCGAGCATAACAATGACACTGACTTGCATGCATTTATGTGATAAGAACAAATAACAATGCTTGAGATTTTACATTCTTGGGGATTTTTTGTGTTGTTCATTCAAATGTTTTAACTTACATTCAACATGGCTAAGCAAACGTAGTACCAATTCAAATCACCTATATGATTCTCTGGGAAATAAACACGTTTAAGTCAGATATGTATCCATCTTTAGTCCGACTGGAAGAGTCAAGGCAACCAAACCAAACACGTTTATTAAAACTGTCTTGCATCACATATGACTGTCCATTGCTGTGATACCGTGTTCCTTAAAAAGACAGATATTTGATTTGAAAAGTAGAAAAAACACTCAGACAGAAAACTACAAATACAACATAAGGCTCGAAAGGTTTAATATCAATATGCTGACAGAGGTGATAGTTCAGGAGGCAAAGGCAAAGCACGGAAAGTCAGCTTATTGCTCTCCTTTCGCACCCAAAATGATATTTCACACACTGTATGATTATATAAATACACTATACAATGCAATAAAACAACAGAAAAAATATGGTTCGGCTTGGGTATGCTGGTCATAGCACTAGCACCAGTAGAAAAAATAATGATTGACAACAAATGTACAAAACAGTCATATGAAAAAGGCACTTTGCGGTGTGTTTGAATAACTCTTCGGTAAGTGAGAATGATTCTTCTCTTTCCTTGTGTAAGGAAATGCGTCAAACACATCAAAGCTTGTTGGCTTTCCATTTGAGCAAGTCTATTCCATGTTTGTTATGAGGCACTGCATATAATCAGAACAGTTTTCTCTTCTCCAGAAGATAAGTTCCTACTTCATGCAGAATTCAGTGTGCCATCCTATTATAAAGATCATTCTTTGATCCATTTGTGTTTCCTCGGAATCGCCGGACCGGCTGCTACATTTCATTATCTTTCCTTTCAGACATCCAAGGTCCTGTCTTCCTCCATTTCTTTGTCACTGTCCATCGATCACCACATTCTGTTCTTAAACCTCCACTTCTCGCGGTCCTTCCTGCACGTCAGATGCTACTCGGATGTCAAAGCAGGTCACCATCATGACACGGGACTTGCATAGGTTGACGCAGTATTCCAGTTCAGCCGTAGCCTGCTCCAATGCCTCCAAGTACTCTTGCGACTCCTGATCCAAACCTTCATCCACCTCAACTGCAAAACAAAACAGAACAGAGTTATTACAAAGAAAGGGATTGGAAGCATTTAGCATGAACTTTCACCTCTGTCAACAAGAAGCACTACAAGCACTAAATATATAATACTTACACTCTCCAATCCACTTGCTGGGATCCATCATTAATCTAGACTTTGTGTCCTCCAGCTCTTCTTTCAGAGTCTTATGCTTGGCTTTGAGATCTCTGATTTGCTGCTGCCGTTTCTCAAGAACCTTTAATTTAGTGTTAAAATACATCAGGCCCTGTGGACAGAAGATTGACATAATTTTTAAAATGACAGTTTCATAAACTAACTAATTTGGGGCTTATCTGGATTGACTAGAAGAAAAAATGTGGTACAATGCTGGTTCCTTAAAATTACTTACTGACTGTGACATTTTCTGCACAAAGGAAGAATGTGTTACAGGACTATAATAATACTGTGATATTTTCCAGGCATTGTATGGAAGAATAAAAGCTTCCTTGTGTTACAGTGTGGTTCATTTATGCAATCGAGCTACATCCATGCCAGTTAATCAACATACCTTCTCAACATCCTGAACTGACTGTTGAAATAAAGAGGAAAATAATGTCTATACTAAGAAGTGGGGATACACAACATACAGTTGCAATCAAAACTATGCAACCCCCTTCACCTGCAAGACATTGCTGTCAAGAAAAATATATATATATAAAAGTAATTCAACAAAGGTATCAGTAAACTCTTGGAGAGAGTTTATGAATAAATATTTGAGAGATTTTGAGAATGCAAAGTTGCCTCTAAACATTCATGTTCAAAATTATTCAACCCCCAAGAGTCAAATTTGGTGCAGGATCTTTTATTCTTTATGACCTCCAATAAATGCAGTCTATAAGTGCTTAGAAGCTTCTGTCACCTCTCTCCTGCAATCTTGTCCCATTCCTCATCACTGATAATCTTTGGTTTTCAATTTCATGTAGCCATTGCTTTCTTCAAATTCTTAAGGCTTAATTGTGGTTTAAGACAATTTCCCACCATACAAATAAGTGACTTAAAAACAGCAATGTTGAATTTGGAATGAATAATTATTATATAAATATGATATAGCTATGTTATTAAAAAATTCTACAATTCTACAATTTTATACAACAGTTCGTTCTGGTTCTCAAATCTAATTGGTTGAGAACCGTGAGATATTGTACTGGTATCGCTACAGGAACGCCCTTTCACAATTTTGTATCACTCCGCTTGTTCTAGCCGGGTCTATGTTTTTTTTTAATTATTCACTGAGTTAATCGTAGCGTACGTTAGTTAATATAAGAAGAAACAAACATGGCATTTTTTATGAATATTTCATTTGATATTAACTACGAAAGCTCAACGGATGATGAAGATGCAGGGGAATCACTAACAGGCCAAACAGCAAGAAGTGCAGCCATTACACCTGCAGATTTGAACAATTTAGAAAAAACCAGACATGAAAATAACACGGTGCGGCAAACAGTGTGGGCTGTGAACTGGTGAGATATTGTACTGGTATCGCTACAGGAACGCCCTTTCACAATTTTGTATCACTCCGCTTGTTCTAGCCGGGTCTATGTTTTTTTTTAATTATTCACTGAGTTAATCGTAGCGTACGTTAGTTAATATAAGAAGAAACAAACATGGCATTTTTTATGAATATTTCATTTGATATTAACTACGAAAGCTCAACGGATGATGAAGATGCAGGGGAATCACTAACAGGCCAAACAGCAAGAAGTGCAGCCATTACACCTGCAGATTTGGACAATTTAGAAAAAACACGACATGAAAATAACACGATGCGGCAAACAGTGTGGGCTGTGAACTGGTTTAAATCGTGGTTATCCGAAAAACAGCTCAATATCGACCTCAAACACATTGAGAAATCACAAATGAGCTCTGTTTTGCACGATTTCTATGGCTCCATTAGGACCAGTAAAGGAGAACTGTATGGTATCAGCAGTTACTTGAGTCTTCGATCGGCGCTGAATCGCCACATTAATGAACCTCCTCTTAGCTGTGCATGGAATTTAATGCAAGACCCTGAGTTTACGTCCGCCAAAAACTTTTTTAAAGGAGTTGATCACACTACCCTCCGATTTCATCTGAAGACCAGCAAATACTGAAGCGATCTGTTCGATAGGCGCTGAATCGCCACATTAATGAACCTCCTCTTAGCCGTGCATGGAATTTAATGCAGGACCCTGAGTTTACGTCCGCCAACAACGTTTTTAAAGGAGTTGTCAAACAGATCCGACGATCTGGTACAGACAGAACATCACACTACCCTCCGATTTCATCTGAAGACCAGCAAATACTGAAGCGATCTGCTGACCCTGGCAACCCGAAAGGTTTATTAAACAAGGTGTGGTATAGGACTGCACGATAAATCGCATGCGATATTTAATGCTCATCTTGTCAGAAAGCCGGTTCTGTAATCAGCGGTAAATCTCCATCATGTGTGTGCTTTCACATTGAGCAGCATTAACTACACAGAGCCGTTGTTCACTGATGAGCTGCGCAAAAAATTGCG